TACTACATTTGGACTATGTGTGCTGTTAGGCTTCAGAATTGACAGAGCTGATCCTCCTTTCATAGTAAGTAAACTGCTTATCCTTCTCCCACAGAGTAACTCCTGAATTCAGGCTGTGTGCCTTCAGGACTGCAGTGCAGCTTCCTACCATACTCAATACATAGCTGTTAACTAATTACTTAATGAGTGAATTATAATTAGTTTTAATTTCTTTAAAAAAATAGTAATTGTTTAAATTATAGTTAATGAATGGAAACTTCCAAATGCAATTCTTCTCAATTTTTTTAAACCTTTAATATTTACTAAAACATAGTAAAAACTTGCAGTGCTAATGGGTTTCACTTCGTATGTGGTCTCTCTGATGATTGATCTATTTTTCTGACCTTGCAGGGATTGCTTAGTTTAGTAAATAAGAAAAGTAGTGTCTAAAACCAACAGATTAAGAGAGATTTATGGGAGTAAGGGAAATGGGAAAGATCCAGGAGGACCTGAAAAGATGCGGTAATGGTGGACATAATTCAATGGAGATTAAGTTTATAAAACACAATGTATGGGAATGATGGTATGAAACACAACATGAATAAAGGAAAGTGTGAAAAACAATTTACAAAAATTTTGTATACAAACCAACATAAAATAGTTTTTTTAAAAAGAAAACAAACTAAAATCCACTAAGAGGACTGATCAATTCCTGATTCAGCTGTGAGGGCCACACCCTGTAAGTGACAAGAGTTTGCTTATAAAGGTGCTTGTGTTTTTGTAGGTGTTGGAGGAAACCTTCAAAACTAGCTGTAATTCCAGACAGTGAAGAGCCTGCAAAGGGCCTTTGAGCAGAGAGCTGGCAGAGGCCCAGAAGTTACCCTGGCTAACAGCAAGATATCTGGAATGAGATCAGTGGCACAGCTAGCAGCAATGACCAAACGGAATGTTACTTGCTAGGAAAGCTCACAGGCTGTTACACTGGCCATCAGCTGGCCATTCCACAGTGAAAAAGCTGATAGCAGGGAGGCTTGCATGACCAGGCAGGAGTGTACAGAGCCTAGGAGGAAGTGTTTGCTTGCATAGTCAAAAGGTCTAACAGTATGACCAAGAGGGGCTAAAAAAGTTATCTTTTTTTTTTTCTGATCAAGTCTCATTTTATTGAAAGCATTCACAGTTTATCTAAAAAAGTTATCTTGATCTGAAGCTCCTTATAGCCTTTTCAAACTTGCATGTATGCTTCCTGATCCCAATTCCAATTTGTTCCTGTTCCTATTTCCAAAGTGTTCTTGCTATTTCCAAAAGTGACCCTAAAGTCTGCTCCTTCCCTAATGGATCACATAATTTTGGCTATGATCTGTGAGTTCTTCACAGCTATTACAAATTATGAAACTCAGCAAAGAAGAAATTGCTGTAAGGGCTGGTATCCGAAACAGTGGAAAAGTTTAATAAGAGTAGAGGGTTAATCTGAAATGCATTTCAAAAAAGCAAAATCTAGACAAGTTTTAATGCCAGATTACGGTCTTCATAATTACTTGATATGCATCCAAGAGATGGACAATGACTAAGGATGAAAGAAAAAGAATTTGAATTGTGGTCCTGGAGAAGAATCTTGAAGATACCATGGGCTGCCAAGAAAACAAACAGGTCTGTCTTGGAGAGGGTGAAACCAAGTTTCTCCTTGGGAGGCTAAGATTTTTGAAGCTCCATCTCACATACTTTGGGCACATGGCCAGGAGAGACTGTGACCTTGGAGAAGGACATCAGACTTGGAAGGGTGGAGAGACAGCACAGGAGAAGATTACTCCGGATGAGATGGATTGATACAGTAACTAAGGCAATGGGGGTTGGTGTGTTGGAATCAGTGAGACTGGCTCAGGACAGGGTAGAAAAGGTTCAGTATTACAGTACATAGGGTCACTATGGGTCACAGGCAATTTGACAACATATAACAACAATGAAAGGAATTTAAAATGAGAAATATTAAAAAATTATATCCTCTCAAGTCCCAAATTTTAAGATGAATCAATATCTATCACCTTCAACAAACCATGCAATCTCAGCATATTTATCCAAATAGAATCATGTTTCTCGGTGCAGAAGCCAGCCTGTACCTCCTATAGGCTAAGAAGATGCTAAGTAAGGTATGAGCACAGTTTAATTCTCCACTCTCTCTCTCCGGCCCTGCGGTAGACCTGGGGAAAAGAAGAGCAGCAGGCAGGGGTACCAACAATCTGGGATCGCACTTGTCTTGGTTTGGCTGGAGAGCCTAAGTTATGGGGGAAAACAAACTTAAGAGCACCTTGGTAAAGTGAAGTCACGTGTTCCCTGCTTCAGGAAAAATATAAGCTCAAGGATAATGAGACTTTAAAATCAAGTGCTCTGGGGTATCCCTCTCACTTCATTCTATCACGTGAAAGACCAGGGCAGAGATGTTCAAATTCAGATGAAATTCCCCTATATAGAGCTCTCCTTCCTTCTTTGTTGTGTATCTAATGTGTGTATGTTGTTGTTGTTAAGTGCTTTTGAGTCTAAACCCACTCATAATTGACCCTCCAGCAGGTTTTCAGAAGCTGTATATCACTAGGTAGGGCGTTTTGGCAGCCTAGTGGTAAGGAGTTGAACTGCAACCCAAAGGCAAACAGAATCCACCAGCTACTCTGTTGAGAAAAGGATGGGCAATCTTCTCTTTTGCGATTTGTGGTGGTGGTAGTGGTGGACCGTCAAGTTGGAAACAACTCATAGCTGGCCCTGCGTTGAATTTTCAGAAGTGGCAAATTAAGTGGGAAGAGTCACAAATTGAGCAGGCAGCAATTTTCCCAATCTCTGAACTGAAAAACTATGTGTGATACAAATAAATCAATTTCTAGACATTATTAAAAATAACTCTGAGCGCAACAATGAATGAATGGAAATCCAAAGTCTCTGCAAACTTTCATTAAAATTAATAAGAAAAACTCTGATGGGGGAAACCATAGGGTCACACAATTTGGTGGGTGGAGAGAGGGAAGGGTAAAGGAAGTGGGAAAGATCAGGTGGGGATCTGGAAACACAGGGCAGTGGTGGGCATAGTTCAATGGTGATTAATTTTATAAAACATAATCAATGGGAGGAATCATATGAAACACAATGTGAATGAAGAATAGTGTGAAACATAATGTACACAAACTTTGTAAGCAAACCAAAATAAAAATAAAATTTTTTTTTAAAAAAGAGAGGAAAAAAATAACAGTAAAAAACTTATACACCAAGGCATTTGGGAGCATTAGTGCACTAACAACAAAAGAGAAATCAGCTCCAGGTGATCACTCTCTTTGTTGTATTTTTATATTTGTTTGTGCAAACAAATATAAAAATTGAAAAATGAAAAAGCTACTCCATGGGATGCAACAAAGGGCTCAAGGCAGCAGCAATTGTAAGGAGGATGCTGTACCAGGCAGTGCGTTGTTTGTTGTACAGTTATAACAAAAACATTATAACTAAGAGTCTACACTTCAACACTTAATGTAATGGATTGAATTGTGTCTCCTCTAAATATACATATGTAATGATGTAATATGTAATTTTTTTAAAGATTCCACACAATCTGAAAAAGCAAGCAGCTACCAGTGATTAAGGCTAGGCTGTAAAACGCTTAAACCCATTTCAACCTTGATCACATGGGTGGGGAAATTCTTAGGGTAGAGCCTACATAACCTCTTTCTCTTAGAAAAGGACAAGAAGCCAGCAGGTAGTGGGGAACCTCAACCACAACAAGAGAACAGAGAGAAAGCCTGTCCCTACAGCTAGAACCCTCAATTTAGCCTTCCAGCCTCCATACACAATGAGAGAATAAATTTCTTCTGTTTGTAAAAGCCATCCATAAAGTGGTTAAGCCTATTTATCAAGACCACTAAAGGAACACAGAAAAACTGCAGTTATGTCACATAATTAGCAGAGAAAGATAGATCAGTTTTAAAATTCCTATAATTATTCCTGTTCTGTTGTACAGTCGTCAGAACAGAGCAAGGGAACACTGCATGGTTCAAAATTAGGAAGGGCGTACGCCAGGGATGCATCCTATCTCCATACCTTTTCAACCTATATGTAGAACAGATTATCCGGGAGGCTGGGCTCTATGAGGAGAAATGTGGGGTCAGGATTGGTGGACGATTTATCAACAATCTGCGTATGCGGATGACACAACCCTGCTTGCTGAAACTGAGGAGGACCTGAAGCGCCTGCTGCAGAGTGTCAAGGACTGCAGCCTACAATATGGATTGAGGCTCAATGTCAAGAAGACAAAGATTCTCACCACTGGACCAATCGGCAGCATCAGGATGGATGGTGAAGAGATTGAGATTGTACACAGCTTTAGTTTGCTTGGCTCCATAGTCAACAGTCTTGGCACCAGCAGCCAGGAAATTAAAAGGCGCATTGCCATGGGAAAGTCTGCTGTTAGGGACCTCTCCAAAGTGCTGAATAGCAGTGGTGTCTCTCTGGAGACTAAGGTGCGTCTGATACAGGCCATGGTCTTTGCAATCACCTGTTATGCATCAGAGAGTTGGACAATGACCAAGGAGGATAGAAGGAGAACTGATGCCTTTGAGCTGTGGTGCTGGAGAAGAGTACTGAGAATACCATGGACTGCTAGGAAAACAAATAGATTTGTCCTGGAGAGGGTTAAACCGGGTGGCTCCTTGGAGGCAAGGATTCTGAGGCTCCATCTAACTTACTTTGGACATGTAGTGAGGAGAGACCGGTCCTTGGAGAGGGACATCATGCTTGGGAGGGTGGAGGGACGGTGCAGGAGAGGAAGGCCCTCTATGAGGTGGATTGATTCAGTGACTGGGATAATTGGGATGGGAGTGTCAGAGACAGTGCGATTGGCACAGGACAGAGCGGAGTTTAGGGCTGTTGTACATAGGGTCGCTATGAGTCGCAGGCAACTCGATGGCACATAACAACAACAACAACAACATGATTATTACTAGTTAGCCAAATCTTACAATTTTTAAAAAAAGACTCAACCTGCTACTCACCTTGAAACTGTTTGGATGATGAATACATCTTTTCCCCTCACAGACTCTTGAATTTGTACTCTTGTTTCTGCCAAGAAAAAGAAAAGGTGGACAAGATGAGGAAAGCATGTAATTAAAATTTCTCAATACACACAGAAGTAAAAATAAATAAAAATACACAGAAGTCTTGCAGAAAACAAAGTATCAGCAGAGGGATATCTGGTTTTCATTGACTATGCAAAGGCATTTTACTGTGTGGATCACAACAAATTGTGGTTAACCTTGAGGAGACCGGGAATCCCAGACCATTTGATTGTGCCTATGCAAAACCTATACTTGGACAAGGAAGCAGTCTCAGAACAGGGCAACAGTACATGGTTCAAAATTAAGAAAGGAGTGTGTCAGGGATGTGTCCTGTTTCCATACTTTTTTCAATATATATGCAGAACAGATCATTTGGGAGTGTGGGCTTCATGAGGAGGAATATGGCTTCAGGACTGGATCAAGACTCCAGATGGCACAAACTTGCTTGCTGAAACTGAAGAGGACCTGAAGTATTTGCTGCAGAAGGTCAAGGACTGTAATCTTCAATATCAATTGAAGCTTAACATCATGAAGATAATGATTCTTACCACTGGAACAACTGGCACCACCATGACAGATGGAGAAGAGATTGAGGTTGTTAACAATTACAGCTTGCTCAGCTCCACCATCAACACTTTTGGCATCAACAATCAGGAAATCAAAAGATGAACTGCAATAGTTAAATCTGCTGTCAGGGACCTTTCCAGGGTACTGAGAAACAACGTCAGCCTGGAGAGTAAGGTGTGCTGATCCAGGCCAGTAGTCACAATTATTTGCTATGCATCAGAGAGCTGGACAATGACTACGGAAGACAGAAGAAGAATCAATGTCTTTGAGTTGTGGTGTTGGAGAAGAGTCTTCAGCATACCAGGGGCTGCCAATAAAATAAACAGTTCTGTCTCAGAGAGGGCGAAACCAAGATTCTCCTAAGATTTTGAACCGCCATGTCACGTGGCCAGGAGGAAACAGTCCTTGAAGGAGGAGCCATGCTTGGAAGGGTGGAGAAACACCACAGGGAAGTAAGACCCCTGATAAGATGGATTGATAAGAGGAACTGAGGTAATAGGGAAAGGTGTGTCAGAGTCAGTAAGACTGGCCAAGATAAGGCAGGCTTCAGAGCTGTTGTACATGAGGTCACTATAAATGCAGGCAAGACAGGACATAACAACAAAAACAGAGAAGTTTAGATAATTACTCAAGGTTATAAAATGTGAAAAGTAGAACTGTTATAAAAGTCACAGGACTAAATATATTAAATGGATAATGCTTGATAAAGTAGAACCTGCTCTGAAAAATTCAACACTCAGATATATTGCAACACTCAATGACTGTACATAAGGAGCGAGGACAGATTTATTAAAAATCCAAAAGGGACATAGTTAATATCCACCAGGTGCTCTGCAAAAGGTTGGGAAATCTACTCCCATATGATTAAATGCCTCCAAAACCCAATGGAGGATTAGCAATGGATCAGTTCCAACTTGACAGCACACAGCCAACAATGAAAGGATAATATCTGAAGAAAAACCACTTGGCAAACTGACTGGAAGAGATCTATATTTGTTCCCATTCCAAAGAAGGGTGACCCAACAGAGTGTGGAAACTATAGAACAGTATCATTGATTTCATATGCAAGCAAGATTCTACTGAAGATTATCCAAAAACGACTGGAACAGCACATCAGCAGAGAACTGCCAGGCGTCCAGGCTGGGTTTAGAAAGGGTCGTGGTACTAGGGATATTACAGCTAATGTTAAGATGCATCTGAGTTGAAAGCAGAGAATACCAGAGGAGTGTCTATCTGTGTTTCATTGATTATGCAAAGGCATTTGACTGTGTGGATCATAGCAAACTGTGGCTGACTCTGAGAAGAATGGGAATCCCAGAACAGTTGATCATGCTAATGCAAAACCTGTACTTGGACCAAGAGGCAGTTGTCAGAACAGAGCAAGGAAACACTGCATTGTTCAAAATTAGGAAGGCTGTAAGCCAGGGATGTGTCCTGTCTCCATACCTTTTCAACCTGTATGCAGAACAGATTATCTGGAAGGCTGGGCTCTATGAGGAGAAATGTGGCGTCAGGATTGGTGGAAGATCTATCAACAATCTGCGTTATGCAGATGACACAAACCCTGCTTGCTGAAACTGAGGAGGACCTGAAGTGCTTGCTGCAGAAGTCAGGGACTGCAACCTTCCATACGGATTAAAGCTCAACATCAAGAAAAAAAGATTCTCACCACTGGGCCACTTGGCAGCATCAGTATGGATGGTGAAGAGATTGAGATAGCTAACAGTTTTCGTTTACTAGGTTCCACAATCAACACTCTTGGTAACAGCAGCCAGAAAATCAAGAGATGAACTGTATTGGGAAAGTCAGCTGTGAGGGACCTCGCAAAAGTATTGAAGAGCAACGATGTCAGGCTGGAGACTAAGGTATGCCTGATCCAGGCTATGGTCTTCCCAATTACGTGTTATGCATCGGAGAGTTGGACAGTGAATAGGGATGACAGAAAGAGAATTGATGCCTTTGAGCTGTGGTGCTGGAGAAGTGTTGAATATACCATGGACTGCTAGGAGAACAAACAGGTTTGTCCTGGAGAGGGTGAAGCCAGAATGCTCCGTGGTGTCAGGGATTCTGAAACTTCATCTGACATACTCTGGGCATGTTGCAAGGAGGGACTGGTCCTTGGAGAGGGATATTGTGGAGGGCCATGAACGGGCCCGCATGGCCTCCATTACAAGATGGCACTGATTTCCTGCTTCTCTTTGTTTGCCTTAAACACAAACAAGACCTTATTTGGGCACTGTGTTCTCATTGGTTGATGGCTTGATCTCATGTGGGGTTTAGGATCCAATAGAGGCATGACACATGGGTGATGGGCGGCGTACCAAGAAGGGGATAAAAGCCGCACCTGGGGAAGGGACGGGAGACTACATCTTCAAAGAAAAGAGACTCCATCTTCCACCACCCTCTGTAATCATACTCCTGAGTAAACCGCTGTGAGAAGGAACCGTGGGGTGTTGTGTCCTTATTCCTGCTGGACAGGCAAGGCGCGCAACAGGACATATGTTTGGGAGAATGGAGGGACGGTGCAGAAGAGGAAGACCCTCGAGATGGATCGATTCTGTGACTGGAGTGGTGGGAATGAGTGTTTTGGAGACAGCAAGGTTGGCACAGAATAGAGAGGCGTTTAGGGCTCTTGTACATAGGGTCACTATGAGTCGCAAGCAACTCGGTGGCACATAACAACAACAATGAAAGTTTGTAGAAAGGTTGGGTTTTCATTTATTCACTGATGCAAAATTTTCCTTCCTTCATTCCCCCTCCCCCAATTCACACTGTAATACACTTCTTGCTCCAGAGTGTTAATTGCCATATATAACGCCTAAGTGGCATCCACTTCCTAAACAACATGCCTTGGAAACTCTATGAACTTTGATAAATGACAATAGTTCTAGAAAGGCTTCAGGCTTTAGGATCACTATGAATCATGCTTAACTCGACGGCAATCAACTACACATTTCTTTCAGACAGTCCTTCCGCTCATCTGTTCCAGTGCAGTGTTCATGATCTACTCACTATTCCCGTTCACCTAACCCCAGTGTCAATTCAATTTTTAACAGTGGTGTTAGGCAATATTTGTCCTTTAGCATGAAGTATTTGACTCTGCATGTCTTCCAGACTCACTCATGTTGTGCACTGTTTCACAAATTCATTTTTCAATGATGCATAATATTCCATTTCCATTGTGTGGATGCATCACAGTTTTTCTATCTATTCATTTATTTACTGGCAGTTGAACTTGCTATAGTGAATAACGGCAATAAACATGGGTGTTCATACATCTGTTTGAGTCACAGTTCTGCCTTCTTTAGGGTATATTCCCAGGAGTGGGATAGTTGGGTCAAATGGCCTATTTCCAACTTTTTGAGAAAGGACCACACCACCTTCCAGAGTGGTTATACCATTTTACATTCCCACCAGTAGGTAATAAGAGCTCCAATTGCTCCACTTCTTGTCAGCATTAACCGTTTGCTGTCCTGTTAACCTTGGCTATTGTTGGCTGGGGTCAGATGATATCTAGTCATTTTTATCTTAGCTAGGGATATTGAACATTTCTTCATGTGCTTGTTAGCCATCTGAATTTTTTCTTTGGTGAAGTGTCTACTCATATCTTGTGCCCTGTGGTGTTAGCCTAAAAGTTGGCCTTTTTAAAGCCATTACGGTTAGCCCCTCTAGTCCCCAACTACTGTAATTAAAGTCACATGGACTTGCAAATCACCAACAGCTGTGGGACTATGATAAGGGAAAGAGTACTTCCCACACAAAGGAGCAAGACTCAAGGCAACAAGACTTGAGGGAGACTGGAAGCAAGACTTGTGAAGATGGTGAAGAGACTGTGGCACTGCTGTGGAGAAATTGTGGCAAGGTGTAATCTGAGGCTTCTTGCATTTGTGCTGGCCACAGTGAAAGGTTTTTTTGCTGTTTTTGCCAGATGCTTAAAGGAGAAGCTGACTTATAACTGCTCTGAGGCAAATCTTGCTGAATGAATTGGATTTGACTGCTGAACTGAAACCAGAGCCTGACTAATGGAGGAATTTTTTTTTTTCTTTTCATCTCCCTGCCTCTTTTTAAACAGTCCCTCCGTAAGGACTATCCACTTAGCTTTGTATCCAAAGATGAAATTTGTAGGTGAAAGGAGTTAGGAGTTAGCCTTCGTTACAGACTGGTTCATTTCAGGGTCGAAAATATGGAACGCTTCACGAATTTGCGTGTCATCCTTGCGCAGGGGCCATGCTAATCTTCTCTGTATCGTTCCAATTTTAGTATATGTGCTGCCGAAGCGAGCACCTAATGGAGGAATTGTGCCTTGGAACTTGGGGAAAATATGGACTTGTATTGAGTGATTCTTTGCCTCCTCCACTCTCCAACTTCCTTCCTTCCTTAATAAACCTCACTGCTGGTACCATAATTATGAGTCTGTGAGTTAGCAATGAATAAAGC